TCTTCCCTCAGCCCTTCTCTCTTCAGAGCCTCTCGCCTCCCTTGTTGATTGAAGAGCAAAAAGATTATTTTGGGGCAAGAAATCATCTTAAAAGAATCCAACGGCCTATGACCAATTGTAATCAGCTACTGGAGCAACCAGAGATGGGACAAACCTTAAATCCTCGTATTTCCTCCCACACTTGTATTCTGTGCCACACTAATCACAACGGTACGATGCTGGGGCTACCAGAAAGCAAAGGTTGCCATCCAGCAAGCCAGTGGGCAAGGTGCGACTAGAAACACTGGGAATGGTGAGCTGTCCATCATCGACAGCTGGAGAAACACTTTCCCAGCAACTTAGGAGTTCTGTGTCCAGTCCGTTTTCGTGCAGCAACCAGTGCCCGTCAGTCTTGTCCGAAAAAGCTAATTATGGTGCAAAGTTTGTCCTACCATCACCCCATTTCTGAATTCATTCTTTCAAAGTGGGAAGGAAGACGACTTTTGGTCAATAACTCTGACAAAGCCATTATCCTAGGGGTATTAAATGGGGAGATAAGAACTTCAGGGCTTTGCACAAATCATATTAGTTCAATTCTCAAATCCGGGTAATGCTTCTTTTCAAAGTATTAATTTCATTTATTCTATTTGCTCTCCCTCTGTCCTGATAACACAGGCACACATGGCCCCTAAATGAGATCCTCCTATTTTGTAAGTTATAATCCTCCCTTTCTAGAGTAGTAATGAGATGTCTTCGCTTAATCGCGTTTATTCCCCCCCCCTTCTGCTTTTCTCCATCCCCATTCCACATTGATTTGTTTCAAAGGTTTCAGCAAAAACCATCAGGCAAGGAGTCACTGGCTCCAAGAGGCTCATGATGCATATGCTGCACATGCTGCACAGCCTTAGGAGATTACAAAAGCAGAAAGGAGAGAAAAAAAGAGCAGCTTTGCTTGCAAAGTTTCTTTTGCTGGTAAGAAGGAGAACGAAAAAAAGCCAGAGGAACTGAGAAGTTGAGAGAGGAGGTTTTGATTAATTGGAAAGGCAAACGGAAAGATTGCTGATATAGGGGAAAGGTGAGACTATTCACAACACAGTGAAGCAATTAAACAACTTCACTATGACAACTTTGGAAGTTCCTCATGCTAGAAATAAAAAAGGATTTAAAGATAGCTGTATTAATTCTTGGATATTTCACATGAGACTTAAGGCATGCTACAAGCATTAGTTAAACACCCTAGGCCCTGCTGTGAAGTACTGTACATGTAATCCTTGTTGTATTGTAAGTACCCACAGCATTAAATTATTCAGAGTCCAGTCAGCACCACGATCCTGCAGTGCTGTACAAACACACAAAACATTTTCTCTCTAATACAAATTGGTGAGAGTTCTTCTGCAGCAGCTTAGCAGACTGCTTCCATTTGAGCCGGTCCCACATGGTTAATCAAAAGCCGTATTCACTCAAAGAGGGAAGTGAATACTGCAGTGTTTCTACTTACAGAGCTGTTTTGCGTCTTGAACTAAAACTTCAAGGAGTTCTACTCAAAACTTAAGGTATCTAGAAGCCAAGTACCTTGTTCAAAGTCTTAAGAAAAAAAAAAGGAAAGATCAAGGTAAAAATACAGAACAGGAACCAGGTACTTAACTCTAAATCTCTCTTGTAACCATTGCACCACTTCAAGGAAAAAAAAAAAGCAACAAAAACCCCACAAAAAAAACCAAAAACAATGAGTTTTAATCTGCACACTACCCCATAAATGCTGAAGTAACTGGCCCCAGGAGCTGACAGCAAGTTCCTTATCAAAGGTTAGCTGTAGTCCACGCTCTCTTCAGGAACGTGCATTATATTATAAGACTGAAGAAGTGCTTCATAGAAATACTGCCAACAATAAAAGTCCGAGAATGAAAACCTAAAGAACAGATTAGATGACAAGCGACGTTCAGCACAATCAAAATTAAATGATTTCAAAATACAGCTATCATATTTGGATTTACGGCCTACAAGTGGTAAGGTTAGAGGAGAATATTGCAGCACTACTGGAGACAACCGTACAAGAGAAAGCTACTAATCCCCAAACTACTGATACGTTAAGGGCACAGGGAGGCTGCAAATATTAAAAAAAGAGAACAAAAAACCCAAGCCTTCCTAATTATACATAGCGTAATTTTCAATTTTTACTCAATTAAGTGCTGCTAGAAGCAAATTATTCATTTGTTATTTATTTCATAGGAGTTGCCCCATTTTTCTCTGGCTTCCCTAGTAGGTCACAACAACAACCACCCTGAAAGTTGTTCCCTTACAAGTTTAAGCAGATAATTTCCAGCACCATTTGCACCTGGACTACCACTAGGTACCTAGGGTTCCACTACTATCTTCCACCTGAAAGAGAAGACTGAGACAGAGGAGATGAAAGAGCAGCTCACACCCATTATTTGCCTCATATTCTAGGGCAAAAAAGCAGAAGAGTGAGCAAGAAACATTCAAGCCCTATTCCAAATAAAGGAAGAAAACAATACTGGAAGACAAAGGACATATATGATTTGAGTAGGGTTGAGACAACACAATAAGGTAACCATGCCCAAAAGGAAACTATAGCTGAGATATAGCAAGTCTGATAAGGATCCCAGTAATTTAAAAGGCTGGCAAAAACAGTTCCTGCTTAGGAAGATACCTAGAAGCCAACAGACAATAGCTTTGACCTCATCTTTGCAAGGACAGGCTAGACTATTCCATTTTTAAGGATCTTAAATTTATGACTGATCAAGAGATAGTTAAAGAGTGATGAAATTTAACAGCTTCTCTTTCTTGCACCACGTTCTGAGCTAACACCTCATGGTCACTATTTATTCTTTTATGGGTTACACAAGGAGAGCCTGATCAGATTTTTGCAGAGCATCAAGTATGCAATATCTGGGTATGTGACACTGCAGGATTAAAAGCTAATTCAGATAGTAGAACAGCTTTTGTATGTTAGAGGTCAGGTCCTGACTCATTTTAGAGGTGCCCTCTTTACACTTCACAAATATTGCCTGACTTGCTAGTCATATTTCTCCAGGATTACTCTGCACCTCACTGCAGGAGGGCAGGGCTCTACTTCTGAGACGGACCGCATCTTTAGATTGGACAATAAATCCACTAGCTTCTTCCCCACCCTCTTTGCAGAAGTCTGTTAATTGCATTCATAAAGAGAATATTCTCTTTCTAGTGGAAAGAGAGTTAATACTGCATCTGCTGACCCAGATGTCCTATGCAGAGGAACGGCAGTCACCTGCCTCAGACATCACTACTCTAAAGCTCAGCAATCGTGCAACTTCCCGTGGTTAGGGTACGATCTGCCACGAGGAAATTTCCTACGACACAGCAGCCGTTCACAAGCGATATCCAGGAGAGCAATCTCAGAGATCTACCAATCCAACCCCAGGCAAACAATACCACAGAGTCAAAAAGCACAAATGGGTCTAAAAACAGAAATGGACAATTTCATGGAAGACAATTTCATCAAGGGCTGTTAACCACCAAGGTGAAAACACCTATTGTCGAAGCAGCCCCTAAACCCCAGAATGGCAGAAGTTGCAAGGGCACACAGGTGGGAAATGCGGCTACACGCCTGCTCTGTTCTCATGCTCTCCATAAGCAGCTGCTATGGATCACTATCAGAGATGGACTATCACTAGAAGGACCTTCTGGCTGAACCACTATGGCCATTCTTACATAAATCTCATTTATTCAGCCCCCTAAAATACCTCCCTATTATAACCTCAAAATGCTTCACAGCCAAGTCACATGCCTGGGTAAGCCATGCCTATTAGCATTCAACATATAGAAAAAACATGCTCATGGAAAGGTTCTCCGGTTAAATCAAGCACATGCAACAGATCAGTAGGATGGAAGAAACACAATAAAGACCATCATTACTCAAGTCTGTCCTCTCCCTAAACCATCCTTTCAGCATGTACCAGGCAAGGAGAACTACTATGAGTCTCGTTCTCTCAATAAACAGTTTCAACATCACAGTCTAAACGAGCGAGCAATTTGAGCTCACTGTGGCAAGCACAGTCCCACCCTGACACCTCGTACCACCTCAGGTCGGGAAGAAGTGGCAAGCTCTGCATTGTTTACAGGCAGCACACGATTGCCATAGCAATGCTAGCATTTAAAAGAAAACAATATAAAATAGTATCATGTGAATATTAAGCACCAATGACAACCCTAATCTACTGTAGTGAAATAAGCCTTTTGCTCTGCTCAGTCCCATCTCACTGCACTTCTGCCTCCATCGCTGCTCTTCTCAGCACTGGTATGACAATGGCCCAAGAGGCCATCTCAGCAACACCGAGGTGCCTGACTCATAGTAAAGGCTGCAGCAAGAACTCCCCCAAAATAAGTCTGCCTACTGGGCAAAAACAGATTGGTTTGGGAGTCAGTGGTGTGTACAAAAAGAGTTTATGCTTCCTGGTCCCTAAAAATCAATCTTAAGCCTTCTTCAAAATGTTACAATACTTGACACTTTTGTAACAGTTCTTCTGTTACCAGCATCCTAAAAGACTCAAACAACAGAACTCATTATTACTTTTTATTAATTTGGCTATTTGCACAGTTATACTCTAGAAAAACAGAGCAAAGTTTCAGGATAGATCAGGTCAGCAGAATCTGATCCTGTATATATTGAAACACTCATTTCATACACTTGAGAGTTTAAAAGAGCTCTCTCTAGCTCAGACAACGACCCCAAATAGACACACCACACTGACCTGCCACAGGTAAAGCTGTCCCCAGCACAGTCGTTGCTTATGCCTTTCCCTGGAAGCTCGGCCTTAGCATCACCACATGACATGCGGCAAGTGTAGCTTGCCAGCTACACTGTAAGCCAAGCTTAAGTGATGAGTTGGGAGGTGATGCGTGCTTCAGCACAAATTAAAGTTTCTAAGTTCATCACACAAGTGACATTTAACAAATCCTCTCAAGCAGAGAGATTTTAGCCTGTACTGTATGGAAACATACTGGAGTTTTTTGTTACTCACCAGCTGGGCCGCTCTCTGCCTCTCTTCGTTAGTGTTGTTCCTTTCCCGCTGAAGGGCAGTATTCAAGGCCTCGCTGGCTGCTTCCCTTTCTCTCTTGGCCAGCCGGAGCAACTCCTCTTGGACCAGTGCCTGTTCTTGCTCGTACCTGTATGAGTGCCAAAGGCAAACAGAGAGAAAGTGATCAGCAGACTTCTGGCAACAGAGGTCATGGCTTAGCATGGACTATCCCTGTCTAGAGCTGAAACACAAATCCATAATCTATTTGACAGAAAGTAGCAGGAATTCAAAAGTCCAACAATCTTTAAACATGACCTGCAGCTTCAGTGAGGTACAGCTCTGGCAACAACTGTAGACTTAGCACCATATAAGCTTATACTTCAGTTATATTTAGCTCTATGAAGTGCTTAATTATCACCTGAAAACAGTGAGAATAGGAAGTAGTTGGCTAGATAAATAGACACTGCTTTGGAAAAGATCAAGGATGTACAATAATAAAAGGGGTTAGTCTGACAATGCTGCTCTTCTGCTCTACTAGGGAAAGCAAATCACATAAACTACATGCAGCACCAGC